CTGATCATTTATAGAACAGGATGGAATCATTTCATGTATGAGCGGATTTTTCCTTTAAAGGTGCGTTCACAATGAACACAAATTTAGCAACAAAGGACTCCCAAGTTCTCTCTACATAAAGACCGGACCTGAAGCGAAACAAGGCGAACTTAGGGAGGCGAACAGCATGATGATGGCGATGTTTATGACATTTGATCGCCTCCTTGCCAACAAATGAAGCTGAAAATGTTGTTTACATTGGGGAATAGATGTTTCATATCCTGCAATTAGCCTCTATAGCTCCAGCTAGCCGTAGCCTCTAGAGGCTATAGCTCCAGCTAGCCGTAGCCTCTAGAGGCTATAGCTCCAGCTAGCCGTAGCCTCTAGAGGCTATAGCTCCAGCTAGCCGTAGCCTCTCCTAGCTCTGCCTCCCTGGCTGGCTTCTCTGATGAACCTATTCCCGGGAAGCAATAGTCTCTAACCCGCCTTCAGTGTTCTGTCTCCTCGGTGGACCTATCTGATCTACTGCTATCCTCACAGTTAGCTTCTAGAGCTAGCCCCAGCCAGCTCTAGCCTCTCCCCACTGGCGCTCTGTCCCCATCGCCCCTCTCTCCCTTCACTCTCTAGTGTGCCGAGTCCCCAGAGGGATCCTCCGGGGACAGGCCCAGCCTCTGGAGGAGGGGCTGGGTTTCCCCAAACCGGTTCCGTCTCTGAGAATCTGGTGAACCGAGGAACATAAAAACCCACCATGATGTAGGAGCCTTCGTCCAGGTGAATTTCAGGGCAAGTAAAAGCAGACGAAACTGGAGAATTGTTCCCAGGTTTGGTGTTTGGTGTGAAGGCACCTTAACAGGACATTATTAATTAGTCTGTTGGAAAAAAATTGGATCTAATAAGCCGTTAATCAACAATTAAATATTTAATTACTTCATTATTAGTTTACATCCCTGGTTTAAGCCGGTTTAGTCCTGATATCGGGTTAAATTGGTTTCGACCGAACTGAAAGCTCTGATCTGCATCGGAAATAAAAAATGGGACCTTTAACTCCATCCTTCTGCTGTCTGCTGGGAACAGCTGAAGAAAAGCAACCCCACACCATGACACTGCCATCGTCGTGTCCCACCAGGAAGGTGGTGCGTTCAGGATCATGTGTTTTAACAAAAACAACTGAAACATCCATCTTTGTTTCCATCTTCTGCAGTCTTTGGTTGAAAGGCGGGGTCCATCCTGGACAGGCTGCTGGGAATCGAACCCAGGACCTTCTTGCTTCAAGGAAACAGAAATAACAGAAGGTTTCTTGAAATGAGCGTATTTTCCCTTGAACTGATCGGGTAAGTGAGGCAATCTGCCATATTGGTAGATTGCTGGGTCTGATGTCGCTCCATCCAGATCTGGGATACTTTCAGAAACTAACCCTGGACCAGAACCCCTCCCTGCCTGACCCGTCTGCTGGGTTCTGGTCTTTATGACGCTGCCTGTTCTTTCTGGAGACCAAGAAATAACGGATCTGGATTTCATTTAGGACTCTCAGAATAAAGGGGCTCAAAGGCAGGGGGGGATTTACCATCAGGCAATACTAGGCAACTAACTGGGGCCCCACATTCCTGGGGGCCCCATAAAACTCAAGACAACTATTAACATTAATTAAGTTTTTGATAAAAAGAAAAATCCTTTGACTAAAATGCCATCAGAACGCTGCTAATATGAAGTGCGTCTGGTTTATACTTACCTCTTAATTCTCCTTCTTCCATTAAACACTGACTGCATCACTGCTGCAGATTAATAAGGCAGTAATTGGGGTTTATAACGTGATGATAAAATGTTTAAACGCTTTGGAGACGTTAGGGGGTTTTATCTAAATTATTTTTCTCTTTCTGGAGAAAAACAGACATTTTATGTTGTGAGTTTAAACAGATGATCAAAGCATGAAGGCCAATAAAATAAATAAAGTCTAATTTTCTTCATGTCTTCAGACATTTTCTGTGATCCTCAGTGATGCTGCTCTGATCTGCGCGTTAAGATGGAGGCTGGGGGGGGTTATGTAACATCATGGATCATTCAGACCAGCAGAACAGAACACCGCCATTTTGGACCGGACCCGCTATGTTCGCAATCAGAACCTTCATTATTTTATTTTTTTATTATTTCTGTTTTCATGAATTTGATTCTGAAATCGAATAAATTGAGAGAATTAATTGAAAAGATTCAATAATAACGGAATTTAATCATTGCTCTTCTCAATTACTGTCGAATAAACCCAGTTTCGGCGGCTCAGGTTGATTTTTATCTCTTAAATATGTGTTAAAGCAGAATTGTGAAGGTTTAATTGAATCATTTTGTCAGGCATTAGTAGTGCTAAGTACCGGAGCAGCAGCTCCAGAAGGGACACCGTGTTTCACCGTGAAGCAGGTGTCTGCTTCCAACATGGCGGCTCGGACTCACCGCCGCTCCGTCCTTCATGATGATCTTCTTGACCAGAACCACCCGGCCGGGGGCCGCCGGAGGCTCCGCCGCCATCTCCTCACACCTGCCGGGGGTCATGAAGCATCCTTGCCGCGTGGATATCCGCGGTTCTCCGGGTGCTTCCAGGATTTCTTAGTGTTTGCCCCGAAGAGGCCGAAGCGATAAATGAGAAAGTAAACCTGGAGGATTTCTGCTTGTTTTTCCTTCTCTGTCTCACAGAAAGACGTCCAGCTCAGTCACACAGTCCGCAGCACTGATGCGCTTATTGACGCTGTCAAGTTACGCTCAACCTTTCCGACACTTCCGGTCACCTTACAAAATAAGAGCCGGGGATTTATGCTAATACTGGGAAAGGATCCAGTACAGATCTGTCAAAAGTACTCACATTCTTTACTGTAGTAAAAGTAGCGATAGCTGGTTTTACTACAGTAAAGTACTACAGATACATGGATGGATGGATGGATGGATGGATGGATGGATGAGGGATGGCTGGATGGATAAATGAGGGATGGTGGATGGATGGATGGATGGATGGATGGATGGATGGATGGATGGATCATGGATGGGTGATGGATCATGGATGGATGGATGGATGGATGGATGGATCATAGATGGGTGATGGATGAATGAGGGATGATGGATGGATCATAGATGGATGGATGGATGGATGGATGGATGGATGGATGAGGGATGGCTGGATGGATAAATGAGGGATGGTGGATGGATGGATGGATGGATGGATGGATCATGGATGGGTGATGGATCATGGATGGATGGATGGATGGATGGATGGATGGATGGATGGATGGATGGATGATGGATGGATGGATGGATGATGGATGGATGAAGAATGAATGATGGATAATGGATGGATCGATGGATGGATGGATAATGGATGGATCGATGGATGGATGGATAATGGATGGATCGATGGATGGATGGATGGATGGAT